ATAATCAATGTAATGAAACAAGCTATATGAATGGTTGAATGTGAAGCTGATGATGTGCCCTGTAAACTTTCACTCAATCCAAAATATAAACATTTAATAAAAAAAAAGAAAGAAAGAGGCTGATAATGGTTGCTTTACTAGTAGAGAAAGGGTCAGTGCAAACAAGAGGAATTCTCGATGAGGGGCATTGACACAGCGACCACCACAAGAGACTAAAGGTATAATCAATCCTGAAGAGGGCATAGGACCAGGGAATGTTTCCTTCTGGTTACACGGGGTCACCATGAGTCAGGGCAATGGACGGCAACAAATGAGGAGTTACTGACTGTTGAGTATCTGCTCTCTCCGGACACTGTGCTGAGCATCTTACTGACACACATGCCAGGAATTGAGAGCGGAAAATGGACAGGTATTGTGCTCAGAGTGTAAGCTGGGAGGCCTTTCTGACTCCCAAACCTCTAGTTTTCCATTTTACTGTGTTTCAAGGATATGGTTGAACCTCTCAGCAACCTGGTGAAATAGAAATGGAAACAGAGATCTTTTCCCCACAACTCTCTTGTCACATTCTGAAGTAAACTGACTTGTAGTTGGATTTGCTGGTGGGTCTCTGTTGATCTGCCCATGTGAGAAGGTTGAATTGATTATTGGCATCAAGTTTCCTTAGGAATTTGACACCCCAGGGATATCTGAATGTCACAGTTATAGCCCCCAAAGTGCTGAAGCAGGCTAATTCTTTCTTGCCACGCAAGGCAAAGACTGAGGCTGTTTTCAACTTGTAGAGTAGCTAGTGTGGTACGCCCTGTTCTCTAAGTCACATTTTAATTTCTTAGGGGAATTTTCCACATGTCCCTCAACACTGAGGACTTCTTCACATGAAGGGGCTTCCAAAAGTTCATGGAAAAATTCCATTAGCTTTCCATTCCATTTCCCCCACATACTTTTTGAAGTATCCTCATATAAGCTAATAATTTTGATTCATAAACTCTAATGTGTTAAGTGCTGTCAAGTCAGGTACAACTCATAGTGACCCTGTATAGGGTTTCTGAGAAGTGACTAGTGGGTTTGAACCACAGACCTTTTGGTTTAGGGTATCCTACAGCACCACACCAGGACTCTTAATACCTGTTCATTTTTTCTTAAGAATCTTCAGTTGTTAAAGTTTTTTAAAAATTGAATGAGATATGTATTAGTTGTCATATGTACGAGGCTTTTCATTTACTGCCAACATTGTGGAATCAGGTGGATAATTGTTGTTTTTTTATTTGAAATAGGAGTATGCTGTGAACTGCCACGTTATTACCTGGGAGAGAATTGTCAGCCATTTTGATATCTTTGCATTTGGTCATTTCTGGGGCTGGGCCATGAAGGCCTTGTTGATCCGTAGTTACGGTCTCTGCTGGACAATCAGTATTACCTGGGAGCTCACTGAGGTAAGGAATGATGGGGGGACTTTGGGGATGACTCAGACACTACAGTATGAACAGCTTTTACGTAGGAAGAAGACAGTCTTCTCAGTCATCAGTCAGTTAATTCGTCCTCCAGCCCCTGCCATACAAAATCTTTTAAAATTCTTCCATAAGAATAGTTTACACCTTGGTGGTGGTGGTTGTTTTTTAACTCATTCCTTGTTAACTTAATAAGGTGTGCTTTTGTCTCACAAGCCTTTGTTTTTCTGTTTAACATGTTATAATTAAAAAAAAAAAACCCTTCATTGTGAATTGAGTGAAAGTTTACAGAGCAGATCATCAGTTGTACCTTCAGCAAATCATATGCTTTGCTTCATTACAATGATTTCAATCCCCTCCATGTACGAAGAGTTAACAGTATCTTTATTATTCAGAGACATTGAAAATGAAATTGTTTCAGTTGCTTACTCACTGAATAACAACAACAAAAATTGCTTAATTTCTTGCTACTAATCCAGAAGACTAAAGGTCACCACAAAAACAAAAGCATCAGCAGGATTGAGGCACGCTGTACGTCATAAAGAGAAACAATCTATAAGTATCCCAAGACAAATAAATAGCAATGCTATCAATTTAGAAGTAGGTAGACTTACGTACTAACTAGTCTCCAACTTGAAAGAGACAGGATTGTGGTGTTTACGAATTACAGCGACATCCAGGACGATGGACGTGGAGCTGAGAAGCAGCTTTTCTATGTCGCTCCATCATTTCTGTGGTCCAAGTTTGTCTCATTTAATTTTACGAAAGAGACATTTTCTTGAAGAACTATTCTCTTAATAATCCTTCCCTGTGGCCACGTTCACAGTCTGTTACTTGATACCAGTCATTGCTCTGAGCATAGCTTAGAGGCATGTTCCAGTTAGGCATAGCTTCTATTGGGTGCCCAGCATTTCACTGATATTGATATAATCCCCACAGTAAATTAGAAAAGGCAGGGAATGTTCCCATTGTACACTTGTGAGAACCAGCCCTCAGAAGTGAGCCAAGGTTGGGTTCTGGATGTGCTTCACTCCTGATGTGAAGTCCTATGCTGCGTTCTGCCTCAGTGAATTCCAAGCATCTTTCTGACTGTCACCTTTCTTGCCTCCCTTGCTTCCTCTTCACTTATACTACAGACTGGACATCCTGCAGCAACCATGCTCTACAGACTCTTCTGTGAACAGGTTTACCTTCCATCTAAGCATTTTCAATCCCCTGTTCCCTGGGTCTGGACCCTCTCATTTATACACTCTCATCTCTCAAATCTGAGTTCCTTATCTCCTCCCTCAACTATATTGCCAAAGTGATCCTTTTCAGGTCACCTGATCGTGTGTCTCCTAAAAACTCTTTAGTGTTTTCTCTTGCTCATAAGATGAAATCCAAGCATCAAAGTTAGCCTACAAGGCCCTATGCACCTGTCCCTTCCCACCTCTCTAGCTTTATCTGAGACCCTATCTATCCAGTCTCTATTCTTTGGCCAGCTTGGATTTCTTCATTCTTTTATTATTTATTCTTGCTAAAGAGTTTGTATTCTTTTCACCAGCTCTTCTCTTTCTACCTTGTCCTCTCCTCTGTTAACCTGCTCATCTTTCAGAGTTCAACGTACTATTACCCTCAGATAACCTCTAAGCCTTAAACTCAAAATAGCCCCTGAAGTTTTTTTAGAACCAAGAAATATTTAGCTTAATTAGTAAAGAATGTCTGCCTTGAGCATTGTGTTCTTTTAAGAGCTATTTTTATGGGATGGGACTGACAACTTGACAAAATAGCAACTCAGAAAGATTAGACAAAGAACTTAGGGGGCAGGGAGTTTATGTTAAGGGTCAGAAACATTTTGACAAAGGAGGATGAGAATGGGTGCATACCTTGAATATAATCAATATCACTGAATTTTACATTTAGCAATTGAATGGGCGTATGTTCTTGCTGTGCATATGAACAATAACAAATCATCAAATAAATGAAAAATAAAATTTAAAAAAGAGTCAGTTTATCACACTTCATCTGGATAGCTTCCTGTGACCCTGGACTGTTGTGTCCATGTTTACTCACCTTACCCTTTGCATGACAATTTGGATATTTAGTGAATCTCTCTCCTTCATGCCTAAGGAGGGCAGGGACCAACCAGGCCTGCATATTCTATTTTTGTAGTACGCTGCCTTATACAAAGGGGCTTCAAAAAATTGGTGGGAAAATTCCTTTGTCTTTGAATTCCATTTTCCCCATAAGCTTTTTGAAATTTCATGTACCTGGTAGATGTTCCAAGAGTCTTAGTGAATGAATGACGCGTGTGGTCCGCTCTCAGAGCTCATCTTGCCCCAGGATCTATGTAGGTCCTCTTCAGGCACATCCTCCACAGCCCACTCACTTACCTAGTTCAGCTTGGCTTCACTTTATACTAAGTGTCATGGGCGTCCCTGACGGTCCTTTCCTGGCCAGTGTACCATCCTAGATGTGGAACCAGGGAATACACCTCGGTGAGAATATAACCCAAAGCCATCATATGCATTTCTCTGCCTTAGAGGCAGAAGGTGGACTTAATAAAGATTGCATGTGTGTATTGTTTTATAGTTATGAAGTGCTTCCATGCATATAGTTTTATCTCTGTAGTATTTACTACATTACGTCAGAGGTTTATAATTATGGGGGTGCTTTGTCCCAGAGAACGTCTTAGCATCATCTTTGTATTTTCAGACCTTCTGAAAGTGGACATTCACACAGTAGACATGGCCAGTACTCTCTATTTCAGACAAAAGGATTTCTATAAGAGATTTCTGGTGCACCCTTCTTTGTACTGTGTCTCCAATCTAGAATATCCTCATCTTCATTGCTCCCTCTTGAAACCCATCATGTTGCTGTAATTTGCGGGCGAGTCAGTTCTGAATCAGTGACCCTGTATGATAGAGTAGGAGCACCACAGATGGTTTTTTAGGATGTAATGTTACATTTGGTTAGCAGCTGAGTACTTATCCATTGCGCCACCAGGGCTGTTTGAAAACAGTCTCCCTGTCCTTTAGAATCCCACTCCACCATTCTCCCTTCTGGAAGCCTTTCTGATTCTTTCTCCTCACTGTACTTCATTTACATTGCCACTGAAACCCTAGCCCCAGGCTCCTTCATTTGTGGCTGTGGTAAGCTGGTAAACATTAGACCCCACCGCTGGACATCAAGAACATTTTGTCGCTTAATAAATGATGGTTGCTGGTGTGAACTGGTCATTTGTGAGATTTTCTGTTAAGCTGTCACTTTCTCTACATCATGTCATTAAGATTTGACCTTTCTGCTTTGATGATTAATCCACTGTTGTACCTAAATATCTAAGGAACATTTCTAAAAATGCACAACTTGAATTCTTAAACTGCAGATTTGGAGGACTATACAGTGCTGTCAGATATGAAAAACTTTTCTCTCCCCCAGCTCCTTGTCGTGTTCTCTTTATCCGAGGTAAATAATGAATTGATACCTCCAGTGTATCAACAGAGGGCCCATCATTTATTAAAAGCCCCTTAGGAAAAAAAGAAGAGCTGCTTGCCGTGGTATTAGTTACAGTCCATCAGCAATATTCAAAAGAGGAATCTGATTACAGACCCTCTTTTTTGTTTTTGTTTTTTTAAATTATATTTTACTGAGTTTTTGGTGACAGTTGACACAGCAGGTTATGTTCACATTGGACAGTCTCCATATAAATTGTTGTTCAGTGACAGTGGTGACATTTAACACAGTATGTCAGCATTCTCTTTAATTGTGCTGTTCCTTTCTCTCCCCTCTTAGCGTCTCATCTTTTCTTTTAAGAAATTGTTGACCCTTTGGTAGACCTTGTTTCTTTTAACGCATTACAAAAAAACAAAATGTCAACAGCTTCTTCCGAAACTGTGCTGTAAAGGGAGAAATGATCTTTTTGCATGGCACCCCTTTTTATTTATTTGTTTTTTTAATTACAACCATTGTTCTTTTCTGTGTCCCTAGCTTTTCTTCATGCATCTTCTGCCAAATTTTGCCGAGTGCTGGTGGGATCAAGTCATCCTGGACATCCTATTGTGTAATGGCGGAGGCATCTGGTTGGGCATGGTTGTTTGCCGGTTCTTAGAGATGAGGACTTACCACTGGGCAAGCTTCAAGTGAGTTGTCTGTTTTTAGACATTAGTCACAGTTTTCCATGGTGATGTGGTGGTGATGTGCCTTGGAGTCGGTTCCAACCCATAGCGACCCTGTACAGGGTTTCCAAGGCTGTAAATCTTTACGGGAGTAGAAAGACTCATCTTTCTCCCACGGAACAGCTGGTAGTTTCAAACTGATGACCTTGCGGTTCACAGCCCGATTCGTAACCACAACGCTTCCAGAACTCCTTACAGTTTTCCATAATGTATGTTTATTTGGTGTCTTGGTGTGGTGCTGCAAGTTAATGCATAGGACTGTAAGGTTGGTGGTTCAGGCTCATCAGTCACTCCTTGGAAATCCTATACAGGATTGCTATGCCTTGTAACCTACTCGAGGGCACTTAATACCTACAACATGTTTATATGCATTAGCAAAATACAGATTTGTGCATTTTGGCGCCTTTTCTAAAAAGGAATAAATTACACAGCAGTCACTCTAACTCACCAACAGTTACAAACCTAATTTCTGGCATTCATTCACAAAGTTCAACATCACTTGCCATTATCTTCCATCTAAGCCCATATGCACAGGGACTTAACAACACCCTCTTCAAGGAACCCTGGTGGTACAGTGGGTTAAGTGTGGCACTACTAACTGCAAGGTGGGTGGTTCACACCTCCCAACTACTCATTGGGAGTAGTTCCCATAAAAATTTACAGTCTCAGAATCCCAAAAGAGCCGTTCTCTACCGTATAAGGTCACTATGAATCAGAATCAACTTGATGGCAGTGGGTAGCCCTCTCTTGATTCTAAAATATTTTCCCAGTCTATCTCCTCTGTGTTTTCTCTATGGTCTCACCACAGAATTATCTGGCTCCAGGTTAACCCCTCCAGGTCTTTTCACACCTTTGCTAAAGGATCTTTTTGGGAATGTCAGGTGCAGTGTGCCAGTCGTCTGGGGTGGTAGCTCATTGTTTGTAGGATAAAGTAAGCATTCACAGGTCCCTTTCTCCACTTCCTCCCAGGCAGGTGAGGTTCTGAGGGTGTACCTATATTCTCTCTGTACCTGTGATTGGCCTGTGTCCCCTGGGGCTAGGCTGATTCAGCCCTTCTTTCCTGACTCATTCCCTTGTCCCCTCTTCTGTGAGCCCTCTCTGTCTCCCTAGATGAGTTGTATGTCCTTCCTCTGGGCTTCCATAGAGGACAGCGCTTCCCTATGCCATTGCTTTAACTTGCCTTGTTGAACTTGATTTTCAACTTCACCAATGATTAGAATAAAAAGGAAAAGAACTATAGGAGTGTTAATCAAAGTCACTATTGTCTAAAACTGAATTTTCAGTATTTTTGTCATTTTGGATCTTCTGAAAGTGTCATTCACACAGCAGACACGACCATTATTCTTTATTTCACACAAAAGGATTTCCTACATCATTAAGTATTCTTTGAATATATGATTTTAAAGGGCCTTTTCAATATCTCAATGTATGGGTAAACCAGAGATGGTTCTAGCTAGCTCTCTTGTATGATCATTTAGTTGTTTTAGAGTTACTGTTTTTATGAAGAAGGAACTTTCTTGAACATACATCTTTGTGTGCATCGCTGATTTAAAAAAAAATAAATTTTAGAATTAGATTGCATTAATATGTAATGGTACCATAATGTAGACACGTATCCATTTCACAGTTCCTTGGTACTTAGTTGTAAACCTTTGTCAGTTATTTCACACATAGAATTGTGTGATGCTGGAGTTCTGTCTCGTCACTGCTTTTATAGATTAAGGATATTGATTTCTCCTAAGTGTGACTTTATTTTTCCAATTTGTCATTTCTCCTTTTTTGTTTATGGGTATGGTTTTCATTGGAACTTTAAAAGCTTTCCATTTTTTTGTGTGGATGAATGTCGATTTTTCTTCTATTTTGATAATTTATTTTTTATCACAAACAACTTTTACTTACCCTATCTCAATTTTGTTCCAGGTTCAAATGGTGTGAGGGGGGAGAGTTCACAGTGCTTTTGCTAATGAATAAGCTATTTCCCCAGACCCTTTAATAAGTAAGTCTTGCTTTGTCCACTGATTTGGAAGGATACTTTTTTCCCTATATTTAAGATAGCAGATATGTATCAAGAACAGTGTCTTAACTAGGTATTACCCCAAGCAAACTTTGTAAGAAGTATTATCTCATTTAATCCTTACATCATTCCTAGAAGTAGACAGTAAGGATCTCTGGTAGCATAGTGGTTACGAATTGGGCTGCAAACTGTAAGGTCAGCAGTTCAAAACTACCAGCTGTTCTGCAGGAGAAAGATGAGGCTTTCTGCTCACGTAAAGGTTTATAGCCTCGGAAACCCTATACAGGGTTGCTATGAGTAGGAACCGACTCCACAGCACATAACCAGCAGTAGACAGTGTTCTTCTTTTCCTTTTGTTGTTGTTGTTAGGTGCTGTCCAGTTAATGGCCGACTCCTAGCAACCCCATGTACAACAGAAGGAAACACTGTGCCCGGTCCTGTGCCATCATTACCATTGTTGTTATGCTTGAGCCCATTGCTGCTGTCACTGAGCCAGTCTTGTTGGGGGTCTTGCTTTTTTCAATGACCCTCGACTCTATAATGTCCCTTTCCAGGTACAGCTGGTCCCTCTTGATAACATGTCCAAAGTATGAGAGGCCAAGTCTCGCCATCCTGACTTCCAAACTTCCAAAGAACATTCTGGCTATACTTCTTCCAACACAAATTGCTTTTCTGGCAATTCCTGGCACTTTCAATATTCTTCTCCAATACCACAACTCAAATGCATCAGTTCGTCTGTGGTCATCCTTATTCATTGTTCAACTTTCACATGCATATGAGGCGATTGAAAATACTGAATACTATAGCTTGGGTCAGGTGCACCTTAGATTTGATCATTTACCGACGGACACAACAGCTAGTAAGCAGTAAATTCTATTGCTGCACCCAGGCTGGCTGGCTGTGTGAACGCTGTCATAGTACTTCCCCGTTTTCCTGTATTTATGCTTCCAACCCAGCGTTCTAATCATTCTGCCATGTTACCAAGCCGTAAACACCACCAAGAAAATCAAATATTTACTGTTATTTTAAAATTACATAAATATGTAAATGAATATTAAGTATTCTGATGCTTAATCATGCAGTTATCTGTATATTCCAGTCTTTCTTCTCTGACAACTTTACATTAAGTTTTGCCATTTTTAGACATGTCCTGAATGGTCATTTTTGGTTTTTTGGTAGTCTCTGTTTTTCTGTTGCAATGATAACAGCAGATCTTCTTGCTGCCGTATTGTCTCAGTATATGCTTGTTGAGGGATAGGGTGGGGCACGAAAGAACAAACCTGCTGTCTTACTTCCATTTCCCAAACCCTCCCTCCATGAGAATCTACAGTCTCTTAGGACAGGAACCAGCCCCGACCTGCTCAGACTTGTGCCTTCAGCACTTCTGACTTCAGTGCCTGATACAGTAACCAACCAGCTGTCCCTGAGTTGACGCTGACTCACAGGTGATCCCATGTCTGTCAGAGTAGGACTGTGGACCTTAGGATTTTCCAAGTAGACTGCAAGACCTTTCTTCCAAGGTGCGTGTGGGTGGACTTGAACCAACAACCTTTCTGTTAGCAGCCAAGTGCTAACTGTTTAGCTGTTTACACCACCCAGAGACTCCTTAATACCTAAAGGTCATTGATAGGAATCTTGTGGAGTTAAAGCATCTTGTCCAGTTAGTTATTCACCAGCAGGTCATTGGATTTCAGCTCCCCTGAGCTCGTATGAGGGCTCGAGTCTGCATCCAGCACTGCAGCCTGCAGGGTGAGCCTCCATCAGCCAGCTGCTCTTAGTGAGCCAAAATCCCTCCATTTGTAAATTGTGGGGCTGTTTATTGTTGTCAGGGGGAGATGAGAATTTTAATTGTATGATTTCTGGGATTAAAACTAAGAAAGGTTGAAAACCACACTTCATTTCTCTAGGAAGTAAATAGGGTAAAGAAATACCATGGGCAAACGGGAATAAGGAGCCCTAGCGGCGCAATGGTCCAGCACTCAGTTGCTAACCAAATGGTTACTGGTTAGAAACTACCAGTGCCTCTGCTCCTGGAAAGATTATAGCCTTAGAAACCCTATGGGCAGTTCTGCTCTGCCTTATGGGTCAAGATGAGTTAGAACCAACTGAGCAACACAATAGAAGTCTTAGGAATATGAAGCCAGTTCTCTGTCATTTGGGGACCGTCAGCCTTGGGGACACCCACGATGTTCCTGAGCTGCCTCTAGGGTATCATCTTTAATGCCCCTCAGCTTGTCACCAGTTCACAAATGAAGAAAGACCCTTCCCACAGCCACCTGCCTTCTGACAGCCAGGACAGTGTGTGCCGTACCTGTCATCCTGTGAGTCCCCATGGAGAGTGTCTCTCACCACCTCACCTGTGAACAGCGAGACCATTGTTAGACACTTCAAATAGAAAGACTTCTTTTTGTTCTCAGCATTGGCTATAAAGACATCAATGTGCCGTTTTTTCTTTGTCTTTTTTTCCCCTCACTTATCTCTGGATTTTCATGGGAGCCCTTCTCTTCTTACAGGGACATTCATACCACCACTGGGAAAATCAAAAGAGCCGTACTGCAGTTTACCCCGGCGAGCTGGACCTATGTTCGCTGGTTTGACCCCAAGTCTTCCTTTCAGAGAGTGGCTGGGATATACCTTTTCATGATCATCTGGCAGGTATTTATTTTATATTTTAGATGTCCAGAACTGGAAAAATAGATAGAAGCTGCCTTTGCCTCGGGATTTAGAATTTATGTTGGTTGACATGGTTTATCAGCTAGATGCCTTGGGAGATACAGTACTCTCCAGCTGACATACAGAATAACTAAACAGTGATGTGTTACAACTAAGGTCTTGCTTCACTGGGAAGACACTGAACAATATGAATCTTTGAATTACAAATTAGAAATTATTTAGGGTGGGGGAAATAATGTTCAGCACCCATCACCCAGTGGATTGCTTATTAGGATGCTCATTTTCAAGATTAAAGGAACAAATAGGTGTGTGATTTTGAAAACTGTACCTCAGCTGTTTCCACCTTGGGTATTTTGTAAAAAGCTAAATAAAGAAGCCCTTTGCTACCAAGGGAAAGTGGCAAACTTTGATGTTTGGGGCCTTCCCAAATGCTGTGAGAGGTGAGTAGCTGTCATGGCAAGCCGACTATTATATTATTGAGGTAATTTAGGCAGCTGCAGGCCTTGGAAATGGACTATCAAATGACTCTAGTTTCTAGAGACAGGCTTCGTATTGATCTTCCTGTCCCTAGGTTAATTGTTTCCCATCTTTCAGAGACTCACCAAGGGAAACTAGCTCTAGTCCGAAGGCTCTTTTAAAATCATTAGAAATTATATTTTGAACAGGTATGCACAAAATACTCCCAACATAAGGGGGGGAAATCAGCTTGTGAAGCTTCTAAGACAGGATCTTCCTCGTCCACACTTGGAGGATAATAACGCCTCTCATAATAAATGAAATTTATCTATATGGGAATGTATGTGGATATTTGAATAACCATCATGGTTTGCAGAAGTCAGTCTTTATAAAAATGGGACTGTACATGGGTTGGGATTAAGCTTTACCTTATGAGGCATATGTCCTGAGAGCTATACATTTTCCCTGAACATTAGAAAAATCGAAGAGGAAACAGTTTGTCCAGGAGAGATACTGTTGTACCCTTCCTAGAAGGGAATTATCTGGTGGCATTCCACAGACCTCACCTTTTCCTTGGGTGTGACCGGAACCCGGTGACCAGCTTTCCATTTGCTGTGTTAATTGGTGGGCCATATTTTATTTGGTAGCCTTGAAGTTGGTGCTATGGGGAAGTGACATGTTTTAGGGAATTGAAATGAGCCTGCCAGTTTATATGTGGCAGGCTCAGCACAGTGACCTTGGCATAGTCTCTCCTCCTTGTTGGGATGGGGGACTGGAAGAGAAGACAGGAGCCAGCCTTGGGGTGTAGAGCAGCCGTGTTCAGCCACATTCTCAGCTGTGCTGCCAAGAACTCATCCTGATAAACTACCCTGGGATGCCAACCTCAGTGGACAGTGCCTCTGCCCCTAGGAAAAACTTGGACCAGCCCTTCAGACCCACTCTCCAAGGTGGCATTGACTAGATGCACACAGTCATCGTTCTGCAACAGATCACACGCTTCTTGTGGTTATTAAAGAACTCTCATTCTTAAGACTGGACTGCTTTTTAGACGTGGCCTGATTTCAGTAAGGCTTCCTAGTACTCCTGCAAGGAGTCCACCAGATCACATACACCACACGGCTGTCAGTTTCTTGGGCTGCGGTGACTTGTGTATTGCTGTGATGC